TATGCAGCTAGTAAAGCAAATAGTATACTCTTACTACTAAATAATACATTCAAGAACAAGGATAAAGATCTAATAAAAGCACTGTATTGTACATATGTGAGACCAAATTTAGAGTTTTCAATTCAAGCATGGAGTCCATATTATACAAAAGATATTAATGAACTAGAAAAAGTCCAACGAAGAGCTACCAATATGATACCGGAGCTTAGACATCTTGAGTACAAAAAAAGATTGGAAATTTTGGGTTTGACTACTTTGGAGACTAGAAGGCTAAGGTGCGATTTAATCCAGCAATTCAAAATATTTCAAGGTATTGAAATCATTGATATTAAACAAAATCAAACAATGAACTCTATTTGCTCATCAGGTCCTGCAGCTAACATTAGATGAGCAAAACATCGAATGAAACCTGAATTGGTCAGAAATTGTTTGAAAAGGCAATATTTTTTCAGCAATAGAGTTGTCGATGGATGGAATAGTCTACCAGCCGAAGTTGTTCAATCTACTACAGTTAAAAGCTTCAAATTAAACTTGCAATCGGTCGACTTAGAAGCAATAACAAACAAGATAAAAACCAAGAAAGCTTACTATTAACGTTTTTTATTATTTAGTGACTGAACTAACTTGTTCATTAATTAATTTATACCGGCTGTCATAGATATTGCCTGGCGCTTTATCTCAACGTCATTAATTAATAATAATAATAATAATAATAAAGATATACAACAAATATAACCAAAATAAATTTTTTTTTTTAAAACCAAAAAATTGATAAACAAAAAACTTAAAAAATAAACAAACAAAATATATGGATACAACAATGTAAGGCCTTAGAATGGAAAAAGAACATTAATGCTTATGTGTAAACATAATTATGTAGTGATAAAGTAATAAACATCTCCTCCGAGTCGCGTCTATTATTACAGACGTTTCGATAAGGATCAACACTTATAACTAGTTTATCCCGTCAGACAAACGTCATCGCCACTTGTGCTTTACCCCGCGACTTACGCCTTATCCATACTGCAGTAAAAAAGGACTCACTACAAATAGCCAAAACCCCACCTACCCAAAATTTGTAAAACACTAATGTTTTTTTAAAGATATGATATGAAAAGTGTAGATAAACTGTAAAAAATAAATAAAAATAACTAAATAAATCACTTACTATACCACCGAGAGAAAACATGAAAGCACAATAAATTAAAATTCTAATCGAAACATAAAAATATAAATAAATTCAATTTAAGATCTAAAACCAGATAGGTATTATAAGCATAAATAATCCAAAGATAAACAGAAATCAGAATACCTCATTAAAAAAAATTTTTTTGTTTTTAATTAACAAAACAACAATTGCCTTAAATAAACTCTAACGCTGTCATAGATACCTCATTCGAAATGTGATAACCAATCAAAAGTGTAGGGAAATGAAAAACCCGCGAAACCTAGAATCATAACAATGATGGAACAATGTGTAGTTGCGAAAAAATCGTCGCAAAAAGACCTTAATAAAGTAACTGGCATAAATGTAGACATTAAATGAAGGATATAAAAAAATTCCTCTGAATAATAATAAAAGATGAAAATTGTGCATTTGAAAATTCAAATAAAGTTGAGTAATCAATGCAAGATAATAAATCATAAAAATTCATAATAAACAGTAAAAATATGAAAATCAGCAGATTAATAATATATTAATGAATATTGCAATAAAAAAAACTAAATACTATAACAAAGCCAGATAAATTTAAAATAAATGAGTGGTTAAAAATTTATTTTGGGTGATATAACAGTGATATAAGTCGTGATATAAAAACGATATACGAAGCGGAAAAAAATGTTGTAAAAAAGTAAAGTTTTCTCTACGGTCCGAATTACAAGTAACTTTGAGACCATTTCTAAATCGAAATATCCGAAAAGTAAAGTTTCCTCTACTGTCCGAATCACGAGACCATTTCTAAATCGAAATATCCGAGAAGTAAAGGTTTCTCTACGGTCCGATTTTAATGTAATTTTGATACCATAACAAACGCACGATAAAATTTTATTAAAAAACTAGTAAATAATAAATAAAACTAGAAAATTGATATAAGGTAAACCAATAATAGTATGTAAATAGTAACAATTAGGAAATGTAACTTAGTAAAGAAAAAATAGATTTTTTATTTATGTTTTTTTATGCGCCGTCTGGATTAGAAATTTCTTGATCGATTTGATGTTTTTGAAACTCGCAATAGGTGGAGTTGGCCATATATTTTTAAGATCAGTATCCTGTTCAACAATATTCCAGTGCTTTTTAACTATTTTATTTATGAGTTTTCCAACTTTTCTAAATGTTGTAACCATCGGTAAAATTCTCTCTTTCTTTCTTCTTTATATTTGTTGTAGATAAGTTCGTGTTGTGTATGTCGCAGTGCTTGTTTAAAACCTTTGTTAATAGATTGAATAGGGTAGCCTCGTATAACTAAAATTTGTGCTAATTGTTTTAGCTCTTTTATTAGGTTGTAGTTGTTGGATATAATTTTATTGTATCTTAACGCTTGGGTATATATTAAATTGCTTTTTTGATGAGGGGGATGGAATGAATTATAATGCAATAGTGCTGTTGTATCAGTTGCCTTTTTGTATATTGTTGTTTTTAACTGTCCATCTAGCTTTTTGTTAATTGTTAAATCCATGAAATTAATTGAAGTGGTATAATTATTGAAAGTAAATTTGATCGTTGGGTGGATGGCATTCGTAAATTCGAAAACTTGTGTTAGTATCTCAGGAGGCCCATGAAAAATAAAAAATATATCATCTATAAAACGTTTATAAAAAGAAATCTACATTGAAAATTGGTCAATTATTTTCTCGTCAATTCTTCCCATAAATAGATTAGCATAGGGTGGAGACATACGTGTCCCCATGGTAGTACCTGTTAATTGTAAAAAATGATCAGTTGAAAATTGAAAGTTGCTGTGGGTTAGGATTGTTTCTAATATAATGTCAATAAAAGCAATAGGTGGGCGTTTAATAGTTCCGTTAAATGGCGGTGCTCTCTTTAAATAAAATTTTACAGCGTCAATACCCTCGCGATGAGGAATGTTTGTATACAGAGATATAACATCAGCCGTGACAAGAATGTAACTGTTGGTTTCTAGTATATAAGATTTAAGAAGTTTAAAAAAATGCGTTGTGTCTTTAAAGTATGCTGGTAATTCAGCAACTTGCTGAATAAATTCTGTGATAAAGAACGATAAGTTATCGATTGGTCCGTCACAACCAGAAACAATTGGTTTTAAGGGAGTGCCCATCTTATGAATCTTGGGAGGGCCATAAAACAGTATAGGAAAACTTACGAAACGTTAATAAATATATATAATAATATATATTATATAACGTTAATAAATATAAATTATATAACGTTAACAAATATAAATAAAATTATATAACGTTAAAATAAAATTATAAAACGTTAATAAATATAAATAATAAATATATATAATATAAATAAATAACGTTAATAAATATATATATATATATATATATATATATATATATATTACGAAAATTAATAAATATATATAACGATGTTTTTTGAACTCATTACGTATATTAAAAATAAGAATGATGGGTAGGAATATACATTTTTTTTTTTTTAAAGCAAATGAAATTTTTAAAACAGGTTCGAATATGCTTAAGCAAATAGTAAAAAGAGGCTCAAAAATATGCTTTAGCTAAAGCATATTTCTGATAAAATATACCTATTTCAATAATTTTTAAAAGTGTGCACGTTACTAAAGTTCTAGCAGATTTTAAAGGTATGTAGAGTCCTGTTTGAATACGCTTTTCGAAGTATAGATCTAAGAAAATATTTTTTTTTAATTTTAATAAGATATAAATTATAGAATAGTAGTAAAGCTTATTCTGAAATTCAGATGCTTTTTAATTTTTGTTTGATTTGAGTTTAAGTTAATAACTTTACTTTTTTTGGAATTAATTGATATTTTATTAAATAGAAGCCACTGGAGTAGATTCACTAACTCATGGTTAATATTTTTGTTTATCTTAATAATTGATTTGTTTATTTAAAGCAGATCGGTTTCATCAGCGAAGTGGTAAGCAGTGGAAAACAACAAATTAAAACGATAAAGCAAAGCTGAAATGATAAAGGATAGAATTTAATGGATTAGGTTTGTATTCGTAAGTCAATTTATTTTTGTTAGATATTATTAATGTATATAATATTTATATATTATTCCTTTTTATAATAACATTTTAAGCAAAGTTAAAAAAAGAAACTTTATATTATAGTCTTAACTAAAAATATAAGTTCAGATAACTAAACAATATTTTGTTTATAAGCATACAGGGCTAATTAAGCAATATAACAATAAAATATAAATTAATAATAAAAAATAAAATTTTATGATAATGGTAAATGCGCCTATATTATTTGGTAATAATAAATATTAGTATACTATGTTAAAAGACTGTATAAGTATAAAACTATATTAGTATACAAACTGATGATATAGATGGAATAACAACATGGAATACAAATTTATTAGAATAAAGCAACTATATAATTTAATATAGCATTTACACTAATATATTAATATAGATTATAACAAACACAATATTTCACTATACACATGTACATATACATATACACACATATCAGACACACATATCAGTTACACATATATCAGTTACACTATATATGTATATATGCTAATTAACAAAATATATTAGAGGTTTTGTGAATAGTAAAGGATAGCAACAAATTTAACTTTTGTTTTACTTCTAAATTGTAAGGGTTGTGTAGTCTTATGTAAAAAAGCTCACTGTTTTGTAGATTAGGTGTACCAAGATATAATCAATACACATTTATGTAATACAATAATCAATACACTCTTCTGTTGATAATAACAATAATAAAAAGAAAAAACGAAAAAAAATATAAAAATTTATATTCTTGTTAGTATTTAATAATCTTACTAATTTTAACCTACGTAAGTTGAATATGAAGATTTAAAACCTTTGTATGTTTAAATTAGATTCAATGTAACGCCAGTTTAAATAATGTGAAGCACCCTGTTCTCTTATTTCAACAAATTCCGATTTTATAACAATGTCTGTTATATCTATTAGTAAAATGGTGATTCAAATAGTTGCTAATTATAAAATTCCAAAAGACGCCAGTTTTAATAATTAAGTATTCCATAAGTAGACGCCATTTTTAATCAAAATCGAACGTCTGTTTGCCGCGGAAATAATTTATAATTTTCAATGTAACAGATACATTTACCTTTAAGGTTACAAAATTCTATATGATTTTATAATATTAGTTGTAAAATACAGAGTATTAGTAGTAAGTTATTTATTCAAGTTATTCCTATATTGGTAGGGTAAAAGAAGGTATGTTCGTGATAAATTAACTAGATGTGTAATTACAAAGTCAATTTCAGTAATTTTACTTAATTACTTTAATTGTTTGATGTACATAGAGTAAAGTTACTAGAATCTATGCAGTTTTGGTATTTTAAGTCCTTTGATAAGTTTTTATAAAAGCTCAAAAGTCATTGAGAAAAGTTAGGTAATTTTGTGATATGATATTTAATTTCGTGGTAGTGGTTAGGTAATTTTGTGAGTACACAATAATATTTAAATTTTTCTTTATTAATCAGGTATAACATCTGGTATAATATAACAAAAAATATCAACACTTGTTTTGAATTCATAACTATTCAATCAGACTTTAAGTTCATAAAATATAATTATTGTCAGGCTTATAAGTTAACAAAATTATAATAATACTTTCATTACTTTATATTTATATATAAAAAAAATATACTTTTAACATAGGTAGCTTAGAAAATAAAATAACAGACCTACAAAAAACTCTTAATATAATAACTATAATATTAACCATACTTATATCTGATTAACTTATTTTTCTAAATCACATTCTTGTTGACAACATGTATCACACATAAATACTTCACCAATGTCCTCATATGTTTGACAACTCTCATGATAAGGTACTAAACAATAGGAACACTGCACCCATTTTTTTCCTTTTTTTTTTTTTTTTAAATCACTGTTGTAACTTTTTTTACAAACACCGTACTCCCAATTATCATCTTTTGAAGCATTTTTATTTTTTTTACTTTTTTTAGAACATACAGGAATAAAATCCTTTGAAGTTGATGGAATAGGTTGATCAGAAGGAGTCAGACACTTTGCACTTGAATCCCTTTTTGGCCTATTAGCGTTAGGTGTGGTTGGCTCTACAGATGGAATAGTTAACAATGTTTGTATAGCAGTATTACTGTGTGGTTGAATTTCTGTACTTTGAATCTCTCTGTTTGTCAAATGAGATGGAGCTATTGCTTCTGGAGGAATGGCATTTTTATTTAAAGGGCAAATGCCACTTTTTTTAAATGCATTTTCTATATTTTTTTTAGAAAAGCTTTTAATAAATGCTGGATTCAATATTGTATGAAAAGTTGTCCGATTTGGTTTCTCTCCAGGATTTTCCCTCATAAAGTCATTTAAGCTAGTGGCCCAGTTTGACTTAGTGGCTTGTATATTCCTACATCTAGTGGTTGTAATAAATGACTAGTATGAGCTGGAAATGTAAATAAATATATTTCATTTTCTTTTGCAAGTAATATAACATCCATGTTAATGTGTGATGCATGTGAATCCATGAATAATATCACAGGTCGTTCACTTGGAATAAAATCCATAAAAAATTTAAACCATTCCAAAAATAAGTCACTATTAATCCATCCTTTTGGAGATAATTTTACCATACAGTTTGGTAAACAATCAGCTTTAAGATTATCGTTCCATCTAACGCCTTTGAATATAATTAAAGGTGGAATCCATGATCCATTGGCACATACATATCCTAAAAGTGTATGCGTTTCTCCACGATCAGCATAAGTTCTTTTATAAACATAACGTTTACCAATAGCAGTGACTACTTTATTAGGCTTTACTACATAAGATAGTCCAGTTTCATCACAATTCCAAAGGCGGCCAGGCATATCTTTAATACCTAATTGGATCATTAATAAATCAAGTTTTGAATAAAAATTACTGATCATATGACTGTTAGCCATCGATGCCCTATAAGCAGCAAGATTTTCAGGAACTCTTAGTGTAAGATTATACCTCTTTTTGAAATTCACCCACCACCACTTGCTAGCAGATTCATTATATTCATTGAAATAAGATCCACGTCCAGCTGTAGTGGCTATTTTGTGAGCTATTTTTCTTACCTGTAACACAGTCAAACCAAAGCCAAGTTCTTGCATCTTTATGATATAGTTTAATATTTGTATTTCAAGGTCTGATGTAAGTGCATATGGTCTTCCCATTTTCGGAACTAATTCAACATTATCACGTTTCAAAAAATCTTTAAGTGAACTCCATGGAACTCCATTGATTTTTGCTGCTTTGTAAATAGACATTTTTTGTTCATTGACCATTTTAGCTGCAGCTACCAATTCAAAATTGGCATATTTTCTGTATGAACCTTTTTTTGACATTATACTTTAAGATCTAAATACCACAAAATATTTTTAAATAAATAATAAAGTATATATATGTAATAAAATAGGATTAAGATAAATTAAAAAAATAATTTTGTAAGGTAATTTTAAAAATCACCAACGGATTCTTAATAAATAATAAGATACGACAAGATAATATATTTCAATAACAACAACTTAACAGCGCCATCATCCTTTTCGAGAACGATATATATAATATAAAACGTGCTCGCGTGAATAAATGTGATTATTGACTAGGACCCAGTCCTATTTAACTAGTTTCTACAGTAATGTAATTTTGTGATAGTAAGTAATTTCGTTATAGTAGGTAATTTCGTGATAGGCTTTACTGCAAAAATATTTGCAGATTCGTATAGAGAAAGATATTATCTTCATTTAACTATATAGTTATATTGTGCTTAAAACAATTTTTAATGTCATTATATTTAATAAAAGAAACATGATTAAAAATGTAAATTCATTTAAGGTGAAAACGTTAAGAAAATGTGTAACTGCGATAAGTTACACATTTTCAAATCATAAGTTATAGGAAGTTAATAAAAAAACAAAAGTTTTACCATTAAATCAAACATGTTTTCTAGTTTAATATTTAATAAAAATAATTGACTTACCTTAAAACACAAGTCTGGAAATAAAAATGTTGGACAAGTACTCCAAACAAATGTGCTGAACGCACGTAAAATAATGCTAAAGAATGTACAAACTGATAGTAAACAATTGACGTATCACACGCACCCAACGACTATTTGTGAATCGACAGTAGTACCCCGGGTACCATTTGACGCAGTTTCGATGTTTTTGACTAATAGGTATGTTCGCTACAAATGCCGAAAGAAATATCACGAAATTACATATATCACGAACATACCTTCCTTTACCCTATTATTCAATTTTAAAGATCCAGATTATCTAGTAGTAGTAGTTTGTTTTTTTAAGAACGTGTTATAGGACAACTAGTATTCACTTCTAGCTTACTAATAACTCACACTAATAAGACATGCTACTACAATATGCACATAAACGTACGCTACACCCACTATTTATATTAAAAACACAGCTATAAGATCTTAAAACAGCTCACAACTTTGACTGACTCTCGTTATTCTCCGAAAAATCACGGCATCTTTTAGATTTCCGTTTTGTATTTCCACAAAGAATTTCTACAGCGTAGCGTACCTGGTACGATACTTTATAGAAATGATTACTCCTAAAATATTTTGTGCTTAATGTGAATTAAAAAAGGATGGAAAACATATAGTTTAGGCAGTGTTTTAATTAAAAGCTGTAACAGAATTAATTTCGAAAAACATTTAACATCATTATAAATCATTAGATTATGTAGAAATTATAAATAATTATAATATACTTTATTTTATTAAATAATATTAAAATTTATAAAAACTTTTTTAACTAAATTTGTTATTACTATATACTGTATTAACTATAATAGTTAATACAATTGGTACTTCTAATTTTAAAAAATTTTTTTAGTAACCCATGCAAATTTTATTATATAGTTACCTATGTAAATTATCGTTATATATACTCCAATATTTATATATTATATAAATATTTAATAAAGTTTAATGCGTAAAAATTTTTTATGGTAGAGAAAACCAAATAACATGCTTATCAAAACAAAATACTTTGAAATAACTTTTTTAAATTAGAATTTATTATTGCCTATAATTAAAGAAGTCTGGACTGGTAATTTACAATTACTCAGAAAATATGATTTTGAAAAATCTAAACCAAGGTGACGTCTAGATCTCAGGTGTATAAAAAAAATGAATGTAGTACTTGATACAAAACATATTTCATGTGAAATTGCTTTGATATTCAATTTAAATTAAATAGGTATATAAACACTATTACTGACACTTATTTCCTCTAAGTCTAAGTTAAAATGCATCAAAAAATAATTTTTTGATGCATTTTAACTTAGACTCGGAGAAAATCATACATTTCAAGCCAGTGTAAACTTAACAACGGCTGAAACTCAGCCATTTTAAACTTTAAAATGGTTGAGATATATAAAATATAAATAATATACAAAAATAAATATTTTAATATTGTGTTAAGAATTTATAATTTAATTTTAATTAAATACATTTATGTTTATATGCAAGGTATTAATTTTTTAGACATCCGTACTGATTTATAAAAGTTATAAAGTCTTTTATTCTAGATTTTGTTTAAATCTCTCTCACTAAAAAGAGATTTTTGATGCATTGTAACTGAGACTTAAAGCAATGGGGAAGTCATACTTTTTATATCATTGTAAACTTAATAACGAGAATATTTTATTTTCGAGAATATTTTATTTTCGAGAAATATATAAAACTAAGTATACAATTGTCATAATTTTTTTTCATAATTGCATGGGTGCTGATTTCCTTTAAACTTGTATTTACAGTTTCTAATCGTATTGTAAGTCATTTTTTGCTTAAGTTGCAAACAAATTTGAAATAAAAGTGGCTTTTTGAAGCATTCAAATGTAGTCAGACTTGTGATTCTAATTTGTAATGTTGAAGCT